ACACACGCACAGAGAAACACACACACACACACACACACACACACACAGAAACACACACACACACAGGTAAGCACATAGAGGCTCAGAGACACACAGATAGATGCAGACACAACGCACACACACAGAAGCAAACACACACACACAAACACACACACAGGTACGCACATAGAGGCACAGAGACACACAAATAGACACACAGACACAGAAACACAGAAACAGACACACACACACAGAGAAACACACACACACACAGAAACACACATACACACAGAGAAACACACACACACACACAGAAACACACACACACGCACAGAGAAACACATACACACGCACAGAAACACATATACACAGAGAAACACACACACACGCACACACACACAGAAACACACACACACACAAGTAAGCACATAGAGGCTCAGAGACACACAGATAGACGCATACACATAGACACAACGCACACACACAGAAGCAAACATACACACACAGGTACGCACACACAGAGGCACAGAGACACACAGATAGACACACACACACACACTCTTATGGTTGCCTGATTGGTCAAGTATTAGGCAGTCATATTTTAGCCTATGTGCTTTTGGTACTCTGCATCTACCCCAGCCCCATTTCAATGAGACCAACCCTCAAAATGGCAGTGCCCTCTTTTCCAGAGCTATGGATGTTCAACCACCCAATTGTCTAAATTCATTGCATGGTCTTCTGAACACAACTTCATAGACAGTTCTGCACTTTTCTGTCTCTGCTGGGATCTCCGTAACGGCAGAATAATCGACATCTTCAGCGTAGAGCAGTTATCAGACCAAGAGTGTCACCCACCTGTTGAAAAATCCTTCCGATTCTACAGCAGCTCATGGTTCACTTTATTGCCTGAGGCAGTGAAAATGTAAATGACCAGAAAATCTTTTCCTAGAAACAGCTGAGCAAGCAAACATCATTAAAAAAAAAATCAATCAATAACATTCCGCCAAAATAATACCAGCTAAACAATTTCAACAGTTAGATGGTAAGAATTTATATTAATGCATTGTCTTTCATGGCCCCAGAATATCCTAAAGTACCTTGGTTATTTGTCATGTAGGAATTGTAGCAGTTAATTCATGCACTCCTCAACAACTCCAAGATGATAATCTCTATCACAGAATCACAAAATGTTACAGCACAGAAGCAGATCATTCAGCCCATCATAACTGCACTAGCCCTTCAAATCAGCTTCATCACCTCAGGTTAATTTCTCGCTTTCTCCCCATGCCTTCGCACACAATTACTGATGTCGGTTAAGGCTCATACACTGGCCTAACCACAGCAACCAGTCCTCCTCTCTTCTTCCCAAATGTGATGCGAGGTCTTTTTAACGCACCTGAGGCAGCAGACTGTCGCAGTTTGACATCTTATCCAAAAGAAGGTGCATTCGGCAGCGCAGCTCTACCTTAGCACTGTATCAGAATGTTGGACTAGGTTATAAGTTTAAATCTCTTAATTGGGTCTTGATTCAACAACTTTTGCCTGAAGCAGTCCCAACCATCGCTCAGCTCTGCTCACATGTTCAAAGTTATCAGGACATTTCACCTGCACAACGGCAGTAATCTTCTCTCCAGGAGAGCAGGTATTTGCTTGTTGCATTAATTACCTGCATAGTGTTTTCTGTTGACTCAAAGAGCATTTTCCTGGAGTTGGAACCGATGGCAGGTCTTGTAGATGCTTAATGACAGGAGGTATGGGATGGGAGAGCGTAGCTCTAGCTACATCTCAATTTGCAACACAGAACAAACAACGTAGTGACGTTATGGGAAGAGGTGTGTTCATGAAAAAGAACACCAAGGACAAACAAGCTGTGCTGATAAATCTGTTATCACAGACTGGGTCAGGTACGTCCAATCTTACATGTATAATCAGCTCAGTTCCCACCATTGCTGTTGGCATTAAACAATTTTAGCAGGAAGTTACACAGCAACACTATTCTGATGAAGCTACATTAGTTTCCAAGTCCACGAGATGAGAGAATTGTAGATTAGTTCAGGCAGAAAGTGAGTGCATTGCAGAGAGTTCAGTAGAGATTGCAAGAATGGTCCCAGGGATAAGAAACTTGAGTTAAGACAGTTTGGAGAAATGGAGATGTACTCCTTGGAGAAGAGAAGGCCAAGAGGAGACTTGATGGAAATTTTCAAAATACTGAGGAATCTGGACAGATAGGGAGAAGCAGTTCCTACGCATTAAAAGGAATTGAAAACCAGAAGGCACAGTTTTCAAAATAAAATGCAATGTGAGAAAATTTACTTTCTCACGGCATGTAGATAGGGTCTGGAATGCATTGCCTGGAAGTGTGCGGAGGCAGATTATTTTGAGGCATTCACATTTGATGATGATTTGTGTAGAAGCAGCGTGCAGAGTTACGGGAAAAGGCAGGCGATTGGTACTGTGCCACAATGTTCATTCAGACAGCAGGTGCAGAATCCCTACAGTGTAACAGTAGGCCATTCGGCCCATTGAGTCTACACTGAACCATTGAAGAGCATTGAACCTGGAACCTGCCCCTACCATATCCCCATAACTAACCCACCTAGCCTGCACATCCCTGGATACTACAGGCAATTTAGCATGGCCAATCCATCTAACGTGCACATCTTTAGACTGTGGGAGGAAATCAGTGCACCCAGAGGAAACCCACACAGACAAAGGGGGAGTGTGCAAACTCCACACAGATAGTCACCCGAGGGTGGAAGTGAACCCAGGCGAACCGCAGTGCTAACCACTGAGCCGCCATGTCGGCCATTGCCAATACAGATACAATGGGTAAAATGGCTCCTAGTGCATGCCAGCAATTCCATTATTCTGTAAAAGAATCAAAGTGAGAAACAATAAGTGACAAGAGATAAAGTACCGCGAGAGAAACATGTTAAGGGTACAGAGGAAAGAAGACGGGGGTGGGGTGGTGGATTGGCTGGATTGGCTGGATAGGTGCCCAGTATTAGGCTCCTCTGCCTCGACAAGGAGAGAGTCCTGTCCCTTGCAGGAGGGGGCCAGGATTGCTCATGAGGGAATGCAGAAACATGTCCCACCAAATGAGATAAAAAGGTGTAGAGCTGGAGGAACACAACAGGCCAGGCAGCATCAGAGGAGCAGGAAAGCTGACGTTTCGGGTCGGGACCCTTCTTCAGACCCTTTTCTGAAGAAGGGTCCCGACCCAAAACGGCAACTTTCCTGCTCCTCTGATGCCGCTTGGTCTGCTGTGTTCCTCCAGCTCTACACTGTGTTGTCTCTGACTCCAGCATCAGCAGTTCTTACTATCCCTGAGGCAATAACAGTGTGTTTCAGAACTCTTAATGCCAGTCAATCAGCATTTTGCCATTGCCTTAGAAGAATCTCACCATGCCACTTGTGAAAAAATGGAGGGAGATGATCTTAATGTCAAGTTTGGTGCCAGCAGACATGTTGATCAATTCCACCTCATGTCTCACTCTAACCCACATCATGCAGACTCCTATGAGATTTCACACTACTTTTCAAAAAGTGCCTTAAAATGTGGTGGCAATGAGAAACTTGTTTTCTTATTTGGTCAAAATCCAATATAATTCTTTCTTTCTTAACCAAGTGCTCATGTAATGCTGTATCAGAGATAGTAGGAACTGCAGATGCTGGAAAATCTGA